GAGTTCACACTTTTTCTCTCTACCTTTTGCTGAATTTGGCAGCTACAACACACAAGACTTTCACTCTCCCAGCAACTCACTGAGGGAATTTCAAGCAGGTGGACTGCAGTGTGGCTGTCTGGCTGCAAATAACTGGAAGCACATCTGTCCCTTGTCTTAGTTAGGACACAATGTTGTGCATTTTTAGACAGAAATAAACAACTCCAGTGTGGGAGTTGTAGGACTTACATGGCACTCTTAATGACCTATCCCTCTACTTGAAGTGGTAACAGTCTCTGCCTTAGTAACATTTCATTTGTACTGTGTCTGTTGAATTGTAAGCATCTGGGCAACAACTATTATTTTATTATCTATAGGCACTTGATAAATAACAAATTCTGCAGATCTATGAACTCATAATAAACTGTTGCTGTGGGTTCTTTACCATAAAAAGTCTAGCTACAAAGTAATTATTATGAAATAATAATCATCATCATTTCTGTACTGCTCCATAGCCAAAGCTGTCTGGGCAGTTTACAACAGTGCATAAGACAAAGCAATACAACTATCATAAAACAAAACATTAAAATGAATTTAAAATAGCTAAATAATATACAGTAAAAAATGACCCTGCAAAGAAAAAAGTCACCTGGATAATACTGTCAGGGCACTAGGTAACCAAGTAGATCATGACTTATACCTGACTGGTACATTACTTGTTAACATTAACAAGTTAACACTGATCAGTATATTAAAATGCTTTAATTTCTAGAACATGATTAGGCAATGTACCATAATTTTCAGCTTTTGAAAATGCCCAAATTCTCCTTGTTCTTTGAGTAGTTCTCATACCAAAATGAATATTGTAATTCTGTGCAGTCAACTTTCTAGGAATCATCTCTGTATAGTACCACTAATGCAGGTATAGTAGAAAGGTTAGGAATAAGGTACTTTTTTGAGTTGCTTGAAGTTTTTCTGTTTATGTATAAATAAGTATACTTTCTTGCATTTGAGTGCTCTAGACTGGTGTAGCATGGCCTTGTTATGTGTCTAACTGTTTGGTAATATTGCTTAACTGAGAGAATTCTGTATAGGGAAGGTCAGGAAATCCCCACCCCCAGAGAGGGCACAGGTCCAAAACTTTGTCTAGGAGTATGCACATCCCTTCAAAATGCAATTCCTAATTATGGAAGGTTAGTACTCTACCCCTGGCTTCTATATGCTTTACCAGACCTTTGAGGCATTGCCCAGTCAAGTACAGTTTATGTGCACTTGCAAGTACTTGTATAAAATGTGGGTGAGAAAACTTGAGGTGAGCTGTTTTCATAATATATGTCAAATTGACTGGGAAACCTTAAAAGAATGTTGTGGGTAGGCAAATATAGGCTTTCCTTATAGTTATGACTGCTGATTGTATGGCCTTTTAAAGGGATTAGAGAAAATAGTTAGTTTAGTCTTTGATAACGGGTTTTGAAAGGGCAAAAATGTTTTGTGGAAGTGTTCTCAGCACCTTAAAAGAATAAAAACCTATGCTAAAAGGTCAAGGAAGATATAGTTTGTAAGCCAATGCATGTTCTATGACCTTTCTAATGTAGGTTTAATTTTCGAGAGACACTTGCATTTTTTCACGTTCGTTATTTGTGCGGAAGGTGCTCCTCTATATTACACCATGGGTTTGGCCCAGAGATTGTTGAGCAAAAGCAACAGGTTGTGTGCCCTGATCAATGCCGCTCATCCTGGGGAGGGGTGTGTGTATGTATAATTGTTCTCTCCCTCACTTCACCCCCTGGTTGATTGGTGCTGTCAAAGCTCATACTGCCTCTCTTTGGCAATATATGGCTGGTGTAAGGGAGGGGGGTGACATCCCCTTCTCCCCTCTGACACCCAACACTGCCTGAAAATAAGCTCAGAGAATTGCCATGAGGCAGGTTCAAACCATTGTAAAACTAAATTGTTTAGAGTAGCTATTTTAGATTTGTTCTGATGCTATTGTTTAAGCACAGTAAGAAAAAGCGTCACATCTTGAGGAGACTTAGTTAATAATCAAGCATGCACATGCATTTTGGGTTCTCTGTGAGCACGCCCTCTCTTTTTTCCCCCCACCCTATTCATCCCAGTCAATATTGGCCATAGTGTGTGACATTACATCTTCACCTCTTCTCCCCTTAGTTAATGTTAACCCAAATTAGCTTTTAAGTTTGAAAACAGACTTTGAAGTTGGCTTATAAAACTTCCTTAAAACCAACAGGACATTCTACGTCTGTAGGCACAGTAGTAAGCACATGACCTCATGTTGATCTTATAGTTCTCTGGGTTTATGTGAATCTATCCATCTATCTATCATTTTGACACCAGTTACTGACTGCATGCTCTGCTGCACTGTAGCATGACCAAGAAATAGAAGCTCATTTAGGTAACGGATTTCTGCATAGACATGTAGCTTAGGACCGTACTGCAAGCTGGTGTTAAGAGGAGAGAGAGAAGATCTTTATGCTCTCCTTACCATCCTGCCTGTTAAGGCTCTGGATTCTGAGAGGAATGAGTTAAGTAAGTGTGCCCACTGAGCCCCTAAGTCCAGCACTACTGTTGTAGCTGCTGTGGCCACCATCATAGTTGTGGAGAGAGAGAGAGAGAACCTTTGCTACCCTGCCTGGTTTGACAATGGTGCTGCTTTCATTATCATGCAGTGTGAGATGCTCTTCCTGGTGAAACTATGTTCTGAACCAGTCCTTGTTCAGAGCCTCATAGTTCTTGAGGAGTGCAGGAGGTGTTCTAGTTAACTTGTAGACTAGGGTGCCTGTCACATCTTGTACTGTGATTCCTGACCACTGTTTGTGCTGGTTGGAGCCTGTGAGAACTGGGGTCCATATGAAAAGGGACAGTGAGTGGAAAAGCTGACTTAAGGGTGAGGACATGACCAGGGAGGAGAGAAAAATGGTGGGAGTTCAGAAGAAGGAACTGCTTTAATCAAAGGATGCTGTAGCATTTAAAATAGGCAGGAGCCTGTCTTCTCTGCTTGATAATGGTTCACCGCTTTCCATTAAATCAACAAATTGTGAGTTAATCTGGAGCACTGCTAGAAACAGTCCTAGTGCTTAGTTTTCTGGTTGATTTAATGTTGAAGTTATTTGAAACGTTTGAAAGCTTGGATAGAATAGACCTTTATACAATTGAGATTATTGCTTCCAAAATATTCTTTCAGCTTTTCTTTATTCTGTGATACAGCCTTCCCTAACCTGGTGTTTTTCAGATGTTTTGGACTTCAGTTCCTAAATGCCCCTGCTATCAAAGGAAATCATTAAGAATTCTCAGAGCTGTGGTCCAATACATCTGGAGAATGGGGAAGGTGGTGGTGGTGTAATATTTGTGGCTGTAGCAAGCAAATGAAGCATCATTTTTCATCATAAGGGTTTTAACTTTTGATTTGGTAACAATTACCTGGCCATCATTTGTTGAATATAATGTCTACAACAACTGAAAAACAGAGTTGTGTGTAAGGGGTCTGCATAGTCATCTTTGATAATGGAGACTCCCAAGGATTAGAAAGGGTACAAGGAGTAGAAGAACTTTATTTAGAATTCTTTCTAGAGAATTCTATTGTCTGTACTTTTCTCTTGTACATTGATGGTCCTTAATGGAAGAAATGCTGTTTGCATTGTCCATTAGCTTTGTAAATAAATGTTTGATTTATTTTATAAGTGAAGGCGGGGCAGTTATACATGCAGTTTACAGTTATGGGTGAGAATACCCCATGGTGTATTATTCTCTTTAATCTGCTGGTGAGGCAATAAAGGTTCAGCCATTTCACACAGTGGGCT